TCCCCCATCCCTTGACACCTTGGATTACAGCTTCCATCATATCCTGCCAGACCATGCTGTTGGGCACAATAATAGCTGCAGTCAGCTCAGGTGATTGGCCTTAACTTATCAAAAACTCCTTGAGGATGTTTCAGACTTTTATGGCCTTTCAAAGGCTGTGTGGCTTTTGTTCATTTCTGACTTAGTCTGTGGCTTGAATTCCAACCTTATAACCATGGTCTATATGTTGTAAATCTAGCCACTGTTGTTTTCTCAGTAAAAAGGAAACTGGATTTCCCCATATTCGTGGAATTAAAAAAGAAAGAAGAAGAGAAGGTCTCCTTCCAGTCAACCCAACATCTAGTGGCCTCATGGACATGTTTTGGTAGTTTCATGATACATTGTAGAATTGACCTGTTCTGGTCCTTTTGTCTTACTACAACTCTGCTATTTCTAATGGTTCCCCACCCATGTCCTTGCTTCATTGTTCTTCCTCACTATTTAAGATCATCCAAGGTCAAGTAGTGCCAAAAAAAATGAGTAGCTTTTTGAAGACACATTGTGGGCCTTTCTTATCATCACTTAAATGGTGTTCTCTTGGCTCATTCCTTCTTTTTATCCACTTTAGATTAGAGTTTCTCAACCTTGGCAGTTTGAAGATGTGTGGACTTCAATTCCCAGAATTCCCCAGTCAGCATAGTTATGCATAGCACAACTGGCTGGGAAATTCTGGAAGCTGAAGTCCACACATCCAACGGCCAAGCTTGAGAAACACTGCTGCTTTAAATCAATTCTTAGACTCTTCCTTCTAATCTGCTTTTCCTCTCCTAATTCTGATGGTCAGTTCCATCTCAGGGAGCTAATCTGATTCTCCCTCCTTCTTGTAAGGCCACACTTGGAATACTGCATCCAGTTTTGGTCACCACAATGTAAAAAAGATGTCGAGACTCTAGAAAGAGTACAGAGAAGAGCAGCAAAGATGATTAGGGGACTGGAGGCTAAAACATATAAGGAACGGCTGCTGGAATTCGGTATGTCTAGTTTAACAAAGAGAAGGACGAGGGGGGACATGATAGCAGTGTTCCAGTATCTTAGGGGCTGCCACAAAGAAGAGGGAGTCAAGCTATTCTCCAAGGCGCCTGAAGGCAGGACAAGAAGCAACGGATGGAAACTGATCAAGGAGAGAAGCAACCTAGAACTAAGGAGAAACTTCCTGACAGTTAGAACAATTAACCAATGGAACAACCTGCCTCCAGAAGCGGTGAATGCTCCAACACTGGAAGTTTTCAAGAAGAGACTGGACAGCCATTTGTCCGAAATGGTGTAGGGTTCCTGCCTGAGCAGGGGGTTGCACTTGATGACCTCCAAGGTCCCTTCCAACTTTATCATTATTATTATTATTATTATTATTATTATTATTATTATTATTATTATTATTATTATTATTATTATTATTATTATTATTATTATTATTATTATTATTATTATTATTATAGCAGCCGACATAGCATCTGAGCACTTATTGCTTACATGTCCATCTCTATCTTTTTCAACCAATCCTGACCAGAGAGAAGGAGGAGGAAGAGGATGTGGAGAGTGGGGGGGGGAGGGGAGAAGTAGAGGAAGAGGAAGAAAGAGCCTCCAAGAATGAGGCTCTTGAAATGAGGCAGTGATTAGATGAGGGCTTAGAAGTTTATTTTTCTTTGGAGGTGTGCCCTGCACAATTTTTCCAAAAGCAAAATATATGCATTGAACTGAACGTTGGTGATCCAACCTAGAAGGGTCGGGGGAGAGAGGAAATGCTGGCTGGCTCTATGAGTTTGAAGAAGGGACCTGGAAAGCAGAATATGGTTCTCATGAAAAGATAGCAATTTGACATTTATTTAAGGAATCCTAATTGCTGTTGCTGCTGTTTGTATTGCTAAGGAAAACAGACTATCGGTTGTAGAACATCTTGTAATAAATGCCAGCCTAACTTTATCATTCCTGGCTAAGGGACCCGGAATGACTCACGGATGCTGCTTTATGAAGGTAGTCATTAAAAAACAGTTTCTTATCTTTACCCCTGGGAGAACTGTGAAGAACAGGAAGATACATGTCCGTTCCAGCTAAGGGGAGACTGAGCCCGTGTGCTTGGCTGCAGGTCCATCCACACATCCACGATGAGCTGTTTCCTCCTGTCCCTGAGATAGGAGGGAAGGTATTACTTCAGAGAGTAAAGAACCCATGCTCACTTTTTATCATGAGGTAAGACCGGAAAATAACTTGGGTTGCCTTCAAGGGGGTAGTTGGTTCTCCAGTGCTGGGAAGAAGCAGCTTCATTTAGCTCAAGGATCTCTAACCAAAGAGAATTGGATGGGACCTCTGGTGCTCTCTGAGCTTGGTGGTTTTCTTGCAGACGTTTCATTACCAAACTAGGCAACATCGTCAAGTTTAAGATGTGTGGTCTTCAACTCTGATGATGTTACCTAGTTTGGTAATGAAATATTTGCAAGAAAACCATTAAGCTCAAAGAGCACTGAGGACCAAACAGTTTAACCCCTGGGCCAGAAATATTCCCTTCCATTGGGAATTGGATGGGATTGATACACCTCATAGCTCAAAATGAGAAAGAATGCAAGGATCAAAAGGATTTAGTTAGCCGAAAGAAGAAGATGCACCAAACTGGGAATGTGGCATTATTATTCCAGACTTAATTGTATAAATCTCTAAACAAGGCATGCGAAGTTCCAGAACATCAGCTCATTTACTCTCAGTCAACAGGAAAAGGAAGAAACTAAGAAGAGGTCAAAGAACAGGCAGCCAATTTACAATTCTGCTTTTTCACAAGCCCACCAGATTTTTCAGCTCCCCCTTGGCACCTAAGCTTGTCTAGCATCTTGTGGAGAGGGGAGGGCTGAAAAATGCAGGGATCTGCTGGGAGGATCATCCCCTAAGTTCTAATCATCTACAGCAGTGTTTCTCAACCTTAGCAACTTTAAGATACAGCATATAGACTTCAACTCCCAGAATTCCCCAGCCAACATGGCTGGATGGGGAATTATGGGAGTTGAAATCCACATGTCTTAAAGTTTCCAAGGTTGAGAAAAACACTGATCTAGAGACTCAAGTCAAAGCTAAAATCCGTCCTATTAATTCTTTTGTGCGCAAATGGGAATCCTAAGCATTGGTAGAGTTTTCCATGAGGCCAAAATATCCCTCACCAAACCAAACCGGAAAAAGAATTCCCAAAAGGAAATAGCTCAGAAAAGGGGCATCCAGTCTCTCTGGCAGCCACGGTAGAAATGGACGCAGAGGCCTGAGGCCTGACAGCTGGATGGAAAAGGTAGAATTGCAGTGAGGCAACTGGAGTTGACTGGAGTAGATCCTGTCTTCCCTACTGATTCATTTATCAAGTGTCTTAGCCACCCATCTCCAAAATTACTCAATTTCACAAGATTAAAAAAAAATGAGAAGACCACATGAAACAAGAATACAGTCATCCATCCTGAGGGAGTAGATTAAGAAAAACACTTCCGTACATCATTCCCAACCTAAAGAGACCCACCAAACACCTTAACCACAATTCTGGAGAATGAACCACATTTTTAGGGCTCCCAACTAAGAGTCATATAAATCTCTCTCTCTCTCTCTCTCTCTCTCTCTCTCTCTCTCTCTCTCTCTCTCTCTCTCTCTCTCTCTGTGTGTGTGTGTGTGTGTGTGTGTTAGTCCACAGGGCAGGTGCTGTGTTAGAGGAAGCCCACTTCCTGTGTTAGAGGAAACCCACCTTCTAGATCAGGGGTAGTCAACCTTGGCTCTTTTATGACTCGTGGACTTCAACTCCCAGAATTCCTGAGCCAGCTAAGCTGGCTCAGGAATTCTGGGAATTGAAGTCCATAAGTCATAAAAGAGCCAAAGTTGACTACCCCTGTTCTAGACGACATTGATTGACAGGACCTGCAGCAAGCCAACTCTGCAGGAGTGCCCAGGATGGCCGAATCACTATTTTTCTAGGGCTGTCTGAAGGAATTTGAGCAGGGAAACAGGAAAAAAAGAAAAGAAAAGAAGGGAAATTAGCTGAAAGCTGAGGCCATTTGAGGAGCAGAATGTAACTGCGGAATTACCGTAGCAAATTGTCTATGTGGATATTTGTGTTTTATTATATTTGTATATTTATAACAATTGTAGCGTTCATTAAATGGCTGATATGAGTGTGTGTTGTCACCGGAGGGGTGGGGTGGTGGTGGTTATTTTATTATTTTTTATTCCTTCTGAATTGTGTTTTTATCTTCTGTAAGCTGCCTAGAGTCACCCTGAGCAAGTAGGCGGCTATATACATTTTCCTAAATAAATAAATAGGGATCAACATGAGCAAGACAGCAGATGCAGCATCATGATGCAGGATCAAAGAGGCATTGCGATGCCTTGTCCGCCATCTTGCTCTTTTTGACCTCTTCCCGTGGACGCCACGGAGCGAACACTGCAAAAACAGCTGTAGATATTCCCTTGCATCGATCTAGAACTCCTCCCTGCTCAGGAAAGATGGGAAGGCCGGAAATACAACAGATCTGCTTTCCAGGGGAGCTGGAGTCAACTGCTGTGTGGCTGGGAATTATGGGCATTGAAAGCTTGGAGAGGCAAGGCTTGCTTCTGTTTGTATCCCTGAAAAAGGACTCCTGCCTATGTAAGACCCAAAGAGAGGCAAGCAGCAAAAGGTGGCAGAAAAGGTTGTCTGGATCCATCTTACAAGGGGCAAGGGAGAAGCCACAGAACCATCAACATTTCATTTCTTCCCCCCCCCCCCCACTCCTGCTAACTCAGCAGAACCACTGTTGTCAATATTCTGGCAAAGCATATTAAGTCCTTTGGGGGGGGGGAGGAAGATGACTAATTTGGCTACAGCTTTACACATGCTGAAAAATGCCAGATTGTGCAAACAAGAAGAGGTGTGGCGGGGCGGAGCGACCCAGAGATCCTCCTCCTGCAACATGCCTGGAATATATATAAACCTTGAGTCCTGCAGAGCACAAGCAGATGCAAAGAGATAACCTGGCAAAGATGACAAGACAGATAAGATCTGCCAACATTGGGCTGATTCTGGCCTTGGTCCTTACGGGTGAGTTACTAAACTTGGATAAAGGGTTAGTGAAACTAGGTGTGGGACTGGGCTATACAGGGCTAGTTTGATTTATAATTTATTGTATAGACGATTCAGTTGGCGGTTGGATAATCTACAGTTTGTTTACTAAGAAGGTAATTGGGTGGTTAAATGGAGCGTCTCCCTCCTCAACAGACACTGTTTTGGGGCCACAGAAAACAAAGCCAAATTTGCAGCTTTGGCTAAAACAAATATTATCTGCCATAAATAAGTTGATAGAGTTCTACCATGTGCCATATGGTAGGCATGGCTGCATAATGGGTGGGATTAAGGGCCATAACCTCCCCAATTAAAAACATTTATAGTATTTAAGATGTTTTTTTAATGGGGGTTAAGAAATGGCACAAGTGCATGGGAGGGAAGTAGAGCTAATGAACAGGCAGAAAGATTAACAAAAAGCAGGGAGAGAATGCAAGTGATGGGTACTTTATCAAAAAAAATGTAAGGGGCTGGAAAGTTGCATAATCTCATTTGATTCTGGCTGCTTCTGAAAAAATGGGGGTGCTCAGTATTAGAAAAAAAAAACCAGCTGGAGACGACATATCCTCTTTGGGACAAACTGGAACAACCAATAACAGTTTAGCATCGATCAGATTCTGCAGTGTGATATCTTTGTTTAGAATAAGTTTAATAATGTCTGGAAGTAGCGCCCATGGAGCCATTTAGTTCAAAGCCTCCTCATTGCTCATTTTGAAAGAAAAAAGGGTGAAAGAAGGGGGTCTAAGCAAAAGCAGACAGCATTTACTATCCTGGCTGCTCCATACTGATCTGCAGAAATCAGTAAGTTTTTTCCCCAATGTGGCAACAACGATGAGCATCCCTTCCAGGAGCTCTTATTAGTCCTAGAAGCAGGCGATTTCAATATATATTTTCAATTTGTACAGGAAACGAACACTGTTTCACAAGAGAGCAGGGGCAATGATGGAGGAAAGTGATTCACTCATGATCCTGAGCCAAAGTTTCAGGATCACCGTTGCTGATGCTTGTGCAACATATGGCAGCCTTTAAGAATAACCAAGGTTTTTGTGCCTTCAGAATCTACCCAACAGGCAGGAATTAAGCAGATAAAAGTTATTCCAAGTCAGGAAGCTCAGTAATTAAAAAAAAAAGCTGGTCTGGGGACACCAGAGAACCTTGGAGATGAGTTAATCCTTCTAGATTACAGTGCAGTGTACATATTGGATCTAGACCAGCGTTTCTCAACCACAGCAAAACTTTAAGACGGGTGGACTCTCAACTCCCAGAATTCCCCAGCACCCGTCTTAAAGTTTCTAAGGTTGAGAAGCATTGATCTAGTTTTGTCTATTCTCAGTTTCCCACTGTAATCGGCCAGGCTTAGGCTACTTATGACTAATTTTTCATATGCATTTATGTGAGTCTTAAAATATGGCTAAAGATGAACCCACTTTGGCACTGGAGAGCACGCATGTACTCCCAGTGTAAAGTTTCTTCCACTGGGGATGTTGCAAATGGGAGAAGATACATTATTCTTCTCTCTGTATTTATGGTTCTTGATAAGTTTGCAGAGGTTATTTTGTGACTTCTCTCCCTCCCCCTCTCCCTCTCCATCCACCCATCATCTATCTAGCCAGCTAGCCAGTCTGCAAGCCCAATCTCTTTGTGCAAAGACATTATGCTGGGGAAATCTCCCCCTGTTGAATTCTTGCCAGCTATCTTTGCTGACATTCGGTGTCTTGGAGACACCAAAGCAGTCAGTAGAACAAGCTACCACCCCGCCAAGGGAGCTGTCAGCTAATGTAAAGTGGTTCCCAAAGGGCCCTCAGTTGTGCATTCACATCCTCCATCTTGACCTCCCTCGCTTCTTGGGGGTGCGGGGGGGGCGAGGTTCCCCACTTTTCCCCTGAAGCTCTTTCATGGAAGCAATCTGAAGAAGTGGGAAAGCCAAACCGTTGTAGTTTTATTTGCTAAGAATGTCAAAGTTGGCAAAGGTAGAGTTATAAATCATCTTTCCCAGCTCAGCAGCACAACCTGTTTTAAATGTCAGAACTCCAACCCCTTAACCTGTGAAATGCTAGTTAAAAAAGGCCAGTTTGGTTTGCCACCATCATTCCTCATTCCATCGGACACAAGCTGGAAATCTTTTGAGATTTCAGATCTCAAAGTTCAGTATTTTATTTTATTTTTCTCAGGATTGCAAAGCGATTTTACAAGGAAGGGGCTGGCCACGAGCAATGACTATGCAGAAGGCCAGAGCGTCCATGGGGTGGGTGGGGTGGGGGAGAAGGGATCAAAACATCAGTGGCAACGGTTGGTCCTGTTCACAAAATAAGAGAGCTATCCTAAAACATAGGGAATTTTATACATACGTGTTCTCCAGTGCCAAACCGGATTCATTTCCAGCCATGTTTGAGACTCACAGAAATGCATGCAAAAAGATAGTCATGAGTAACTAAAACGTGGCTCATTAGGGAAATCCGAGATTAGATGAATCTAGATCAGTGTTTTTTTCAACCTTAGCAACTTTAAAATGGGTGGACTCCAACTCCCAGAATTTCCCAGTCAACATGAAGACTGAGGAATTCTGGGAGTTGGAGTCCACACATATTAAAGTTGCTGAAGTTGACATCCAATCTGTACACCACGCTACTATCTAGAGTCCAATCCACATGGCTGTAGTGGCCATTTTGACTTTTTTGACCTCCCCTTGGAGAGCGACTAGGAAAAAGGCACCAATGGTGGGATCTGTATCAAGGCCCGATTTGATGTGCTGGCACATTCTTGTTTGGTTCACTTGATTGCTAAGAAACAGGATAGCCCTTTTTCTGGGGTTTCCCTTTCTTTCCCAACCCTTGTAAACTTCCGTCACGAACACTGGGCAAACAAATATTGAAATAAGAGATTTATCCCACCTTTTGTGACTTTCCCACATTTCCCAGCTCTTTTGTTCACTTGTATTAGTGCATGCTGTATATCCAGCTACTGCCATTGTTCAAATCTGGGTTCATAATCTGTCTTGTTATTTAAATCTGTCAACAATTAGTGAATGTGGTCATTGAAGGGGGGTTGGGGCATTGTGGGAAATTAAAGTGGCAATCCCTGGTCCTTCCTTCCCTGCTGCTGCCAGCCAAACCTAAGAGAGGTGATAAACAGACCCCATGAGTATAAGCGAGAGAATTCAAAAGTCAAGATGGCAACCATAACTTTCTATACATAAAGAGGGTGGTGCCGCCATCTTGCTTTTTGCTGTGGCCGCCATCTTGAGTTTTTGGACCCGTTCCCTATGCATAGTCTAGAAAGCCTATCAGAAAATACAGCATTTGACCCACATTCTTCTCAGCTTTGAACCACAGTTTAATTCTAAGGAGGACCTGGCCTATGAGACAAATGAGGGAAAAAAAAAAATCCTGAGAATTATATGTACCACTTCAGATTTTTTTTTTAGCAGTGGGAAGAACTTTTAATTATTTTTCAAACATCCGGAAAATAAGAAATTTAGCCAAATGCAGGCTGGCTTTAAAGGAAAGCTATTTCCCTCAGGGTGCTTTCATTCCTTTTTCTTTTTACAGACAATATTCAAGAGGATTCCATAAACACACATACAGACACATTTACTCACACAGCCACACATACATATAGTTAAAAACTGAAATCTATATAAACAGCTCAGAACTGCCTGCAGGTAGCCCTCAATTTATGACCACAATTGAGCCCAACAGTTCAGTTGCTAAGCGAGGCAGTTATGTGTGTTTCGCTCCATTTTACAACTTTTATGGCCACAGTGGTTAAGCGAATCATTGCAGTTATTAAGTGAATCATGTGGTCGTTAAGCAAATCTGCCTTCCCCTGTTGACTTTAAAAGTCGCAAAAGGTGATCACATGACCCTGGGACTGTGCAACCATCATAAATACACACCAGGAGCAAAGCAGCTAAATTTTGATGACATGACCACGGGGGAATGTTACGATGGTTGTAAGTGTGAAAAATGGTCATAAGTCACTTTTTTCCAGTGTCGTTTTCCAGTGCCGTTGTAACTTCAAACAGTCACGAAACAAATGGTAAATCGAGATTGTAAGTCGAGGACTTACAAATGGTTGTAAGTCGAGGATTACCGGTAGTGCTGATTTTACTCAGGATATAAACTGAACTGGATTCAAAGAATGAGGTCATGAATGCTGAAAGGGAAGGCCCATGTGGGCCCTGAAGAGCGATCCCCATTTCTTCTTTCGGGCATAATCTTGCCTCCGTAAAATCTTGCTTCAGGCAGCAGGACTCTGAATAAAAAGGATTAAGTCACGGTTTGCAAGCGTTACGCCTACCAGTAGTTTATCTTAGCTCGTGCTAAAGCTCTTAGTCAAGGTGGCTGGCGTGTCCCCTGTTGAGAGAGGGGGAAGAATTCTGCTTTGACAAACAAAGCCACACCAGCCTGTATTTTTAGTGTTTCATCTGGATCTCAGCCTGCCTTGATGGCTCCTGGTCAACGAACAAAATATACATCCAACTTCAGCTGAATAGACTTGATGTATTAGAAAGTTAGAAAGCAAATGGGTTTTATTGAGGCAGAGTTGAGCCTAGGTCAGCAGTAGAGAAGGGTCGAATCTAAATTTGCCAGTCTGGAGAGCAAAGCATTACCCAGAAGTTGTGCTTTAGAACAGGGCTTTTCAACCTTTTCACCCATTGTACCACTTTTAGGATACGGCAATATCCGAGTACCACCAGTCGCCTAGCGAGCTGTCAAAAACTTGATGACCCCCCCCAAAAAGTGATAAAGTACAGGTAGTCCTCGACTTTCAACAGTTCGCTTAGTGACTTACAATGGCACTGAAAAAGTACCCCCCAAGCCACAGCCGAGCAAGACACCTGCCTGCCCACCCGGCCGCGCTCTTCCTCCTGTCTGAGGTTTCCATTATTGTGAGCATTTCTGTTGAGGATTGGCAGTGGGGGTGGGGTGAGGGAGTGTTTGGTTTTTATTTCCCCCATCTGCTGGGTGGTTGTAGCAGGTTTTGGTCACTTCACATGACCCTGTGACACTGTGACTGTCATAAATATGAATCAGTTGCCAAGCATCTGAATGTAAATCACAAGACTCGGGAGATGCTGCAACATTCCAGCTGACCAGCGCTTCTTCTGGGCTTAGCAGAAGCACCAGGATCAGTGCTGAGTTCCAGCTGGAGCCTGGCGCTGATCCTGGCGCTTCCGCTGAGCCCTGACAGCCCTGCAGCTCCAGCCGTCTCTCGCTCAGGCTTATGCGGTGCTGCCACCGGTTCCGCTCATTCCCCTCCCCCGTTACCATTTTTCTAGGATGTTCGCGTACCACCTTTCAGGTGCCAATGTACCACACGTGGTACCTGTACCACTGGTTGAAAAGCCCTACTTTAGAGGGCATCTGGTTGGTCTCTAGGATGCATAAAATGATGGAGCAGATTGGTATAGATCTGTCCTGGCTTCCCTTCTACATAGTAACCAGACTTCATCCTAGTTAACTTTCAACCATTACTGAGGCTCTTAATGGCAATTTGCAGGAATTAGCAGTTTACATCTTCCAAACAGAAACGATAAATCTTGCTGCAGGTAGTCCTCGATTTACAACCATTCATTTAGTGACCATTCGGAGTTACAATGGCACTGAAAAAAATCATTTTTCACCCTTCTGACCATTGCAGCATCCTCATGGTCACATGATCAAAATTCGGATGCTTAGCAACTGGCAGGTAGTTGCGACGGTTGCAGTATCCTGGGGTCAGCTGATCACTTTTGGCGACCTTCTGACAAGCGGAGTCAGTGAGTCAGCGTCACTTAACAACCCTGTTACTAATTTAACAATTGCAATGGTTCACTTAACAGCTGTGGCAAGAATGGTCATAAAATGGAGCAAAAGCAATGGAAGTGTTGAGCTCAGTTATGGTCATAGGCCGACGATTTCCTGTACTTACCAACTACTGCTGATCACATGACAATGTTCGTGACACGGGTGCTAAAAAGAAGCCAGTTCAAATATTTGTGGCCAAAATTTCTCATTGCTTCATTATGTGGAAATGAGGGAAAAATCCTTAAAGGAGCAACTCGGAAGCCCCTTGTATTTGTTAATTGTTCCAAGTGCCTGGAAATTGCCTCTTGGAGTAGCCCCTTCGAACTGAATCACGCATGACTAATACGTCCCGGAACATTTATCTCAAAGGCAGTTCTTCACTATCAGATAAAGACTTATAGCCAATTAGAAATTCTCCAGCAAAGCTGAGCGTGTTTAATAATAATAATAATAATAATAATAATAATAATAATAATAATAATAATAATAATAATAATAATAATAATAATAATAATAATAATAATAAAATTGGAAGGGACCTTGGAGGTCATCAATTCCAACCCCCTGCTCAGGCAGGTAACCCTATACCGTTTCGGACAAATGGCTGTCCAGTTTCTTCTTAAAAACTTCCAGTGTTGGAGCATTCACCGCTTCTGGAGGCAGGTTGTTCCACTGGTTAATTATTCTAACTGTTAGGAAGTTTCTCCTTAGTTCTAGGTTGCTTCTCTCTTTGGTTAGTTTCCATCCGTTGCTTCTTGTCCTGCCTTCAGGCGCTTTGGAAAATAGCTTGACTCCCTCTTCTTTGTGGCAGCCCCTGAGATATTGGAACACTGCTATCATGTCCCCCCTCATCCTTCTCTTTGTTAAACTAGACATACCCAATTCCAGCAACCGTTCCTTATATGTTTTAGCCTCCATTCCCCCTAATCATCTTTGTTGCTCTTCTCTGTACTCTTTCTAGAGTCTCAACATCTTTTTTACATCGTGGTGACCAAAACTGGATGCAGTATTCCAAGTGTGGCCTTACCAAGGCATTGTAAAGTGGTATTAACACTTCATGTGATCTTGATTCTATCCCTCTGTTAATGCAGCCTAGCACTGTGTTGGCTTTTTTGGCAGCTGCAGCACACGGCTGGCTCATATTTAAGTGATTGTCCACTAGGACTCCGAGATCCCTCTCACAGTTATCCACAATGTTTGTGGATTCATTTCTAATTGTTGATACTTTATCTTAGTTATATGTAACTTTAAATGTCTGTTTGGTAGCAAAGGGGATTTATATAAGCATTTAACAAACTGTGGATTTATTTTGGAAAGGATTTTAACACTCACAACCCTGTTTTTTGTTTTTACCAGTTCTTCACAGAGGATCATCAGCTCCAGGTATGATCATTAATGGGCCATACTTTTTTTATTTATTTCACAATTCTTTCTCATTAAAGTAGAGTAATAAAGCATTAAGGCTGAGCTGAAAATGAATTAGTACGTGACCCTTCCATTCTAGGTTTGAAAGGTAGCTGCAAACAATATTTGGGTGGGCTTAAAATGTTGGCTTCTGTGATTAAATTGGAAAATGTTTCAAAATTGGTCTTGCATCATATTGATGTGATTAGGGCTATTTCATAAACGAAGCATGATTTCTCCCCTCCCTAAAATCCCATCAAAAATGGTTACCTACTCTGAAGCTATACATTTCACCAGTCAGTAAGAGAAGAACAAGTCTATACCACTATTAATCCCATATGGCTGATGATAGCTTCAATAGTTTTAAAGAGGAATTCTGGGAGTTGAAGTCGACACATCTTAAAGTTGCCAACGTTGAGAAATGCTATCAGGTGAGGGCTAGTTTGGCATGGTGGTTAAAACACCAGGCTACAACTCAAGAAACTTGACTTCTAGTCCCACCATAGGCACGAAGCCAGCTAGATGACTCAGGCCGGCCACCTTCGATCAGCCCTGGGAAGCAGACAAGGGCAAACTGCTTCCATAAACCTTACCAACAGAACTGCAGAGTCTCATCTAGGCCGTTGCCAGGAGTCAATATTGGCTCCAAGGCACCAAAACAAGATTGGATAACCTCTGTACAAGATGCCTTTTAATCTTCCTGTTCCCCATCCAGCGTTAACGTGTGGAATTCAACGGCCTGTTCTACGGATCGCGGGTGGTGTGAATGCCCAGCCTGGCGAGTGGCGGTGGCAAGTCAGTGTCCAATATCGCAACCAACATGTATGCGGAGGAAGCCTCATTAATGATCAATGGGTTGTCACTGCTGCCCATTGCTTTTTCGAGTAAGTGAACATTCTTCATTCCCCTAAATATGCTTCTTAGCCTGACAAGGTTCCTTGTACCTCCTGGTGGCTCTTTGGTGACTCAACCTCCTTCTGCCACCATTCCCCATTGAAGACTGTTTTGATTTTAATTGGCTACAGAAAACTCCTTTTCTTATGACGTATGTAGTTGGCTTTGGGGCAGCAGCATGAAAGATCCGTCGGATCCCAAAAGGTCTTCCTTTTCTGCAATGCACTCTCTATAACAGTGGTGGCGAACCTATGGCACTGGTGCCAGAGGCGGCACTCGGAACCCTCTCTGTGGGCACATGTGCCATTGCCCCAGCCTCGCCTCCCCCCACGACCCCCTCCTCACCAGCAGCCTCCCTAGAGGAGTTGCCCCTGAGCGTGGCCCACGCAGAGGAGCGCAGCCAAGGACATGGCAGCCAGGCAGTATAGACAAGACTCTGCCCTCACGCCCCATCATGCACAGTTGATGCTGCAGGGCGCGGGTAGAGGGCGTGGCCGCCATGGCGCTGCTGAGCTGCCTGGGCGATCTGTGGGGGGCCCTGGAGGTGGTGAGTGGCCCTGCAGGCAGGCGGGGTAGGGGATGGTGTGGGGGCGGAGCGGGGGCACCGCAGGAGGTGGAGCGGGGGCTGGGCCAGTTTTGGGGAACTCGGTCTCTAAAAGGTTCGCCATCACTGCTCTATAACAGGGCTTTTCAACCTTTTCACCCATTGTACCACTTTTAGGATATGGCAACATCCGAGTACCACCAGTTGCCTAGCAAGGTGTCAAAAACTTGATGACCCCCCCCAAAAGGGAAAAAAGTGATAAAGTACAGGTAGTCTTCAACTTACAACAGTTCGCTTAGTGACTGTTCGAAGTTACAATGGCACTGAAAAAAGTGCCCCCCAAGCCACAGCCAAGCAAGACACCTGCCTGCCCGCCCGGCGGCACTCTTCCTCCTGTCCGAGGTTTTCATTGTTGTGAGCATTTCTGTTGAGGATTGGCAGTGGGGGTGGGGTGGGGGTGGTGTTTGGTTTTTATTCCCCCTGTCTGCTGGGTGGTTGCAGCAGGTTTTGGTCACTTCACATGACCCTGGGACACTGTGACCGTCATAAATATGAATCAGTTGCCAAGCATCTGAATGTAAATCACAAGACCCTGGAGATGCTGCAACATTGCAGCTGATCGGCGCTTCTTCTGGGCTCAGCAGAAGCACCAGGATCAGAACCGAGCTCCAGCTGGAGCCTGGCACCGATCCTGGCGCTTCCGCTGAGCCCTGACAGCCCTGCAGCTCCAGCCATCTCTCGCTCAGGCTTGTGCGGTGATGCCACTGGTTCAGCTCATTCCCCTCCCCCGCTACTTTTCTAGGATGTTTGCGTACCACCTGCCAGGTGCCAATGTACCACAGGTGGTACCCGTACCACTGGTTGAAAAGCCCTGGTTTAATCAACTTCAGCCATTTATACCGGCTGTAAATGATGGGAATTGTGGTCTGGCACATCAAAGTGGCACAAGATGGCGGATGTTTGGAGGGGATTAGAGCTCTCTTATATGGATGCTGTTTTATTCCAGGATTGGGAAAGAAATCCACGTGGACCGTTGGAGCGTGCTCTTGGGAAGTCTGAAGCTGACAGGCCGGAGGGGCAGAGGGTCAAAACGGAATGTCTCCATGATTATCCCTTACGAAAACTACACCAGCTACGAGATGGGTCATGACATCGCTCTGGTGCACCTGGCCAAGCCTGTGCGCTTCAACAAAGACATTGCGCCCATCTGCCTGCCCTATGCTGATCACCGTTTCGCCTTTGGGACCCAGTGCTGGTTGACTGGCTGGGGAGATGTTGACGCCAATGGTAAACATAAGGGGTTAGAGCAGGGGTCCCCAACCCCCGGTCCGTGGACCGGTACCGGGCTGCGGCATGCCAACAACCGGTCTGCGCAAACAAGCAAAGCCCCATCCGCAGGATGCAGGCAGCACACAAAACCACGCCCCCTCTGGTCCACGGAAAAACCTCTCTCCACATAACCAGTCCCTGGTGCCCAAACGGTTGGGGACCTCTGGGTTAGAGGGGAGAGGCCTGGTGGGTCTTTATATCTAGCTCCAGGAATCTGTAAAATATAGTTGTGTCTTTTTTTAAATGAAGGGTCTGGAGCAGGGGTGTCAAACTCAATTTCATTGAGGGCCGCATCAGCATTGCAGTTGTCCTTGGGGGGCCGGGTAGGTGTGGCCAGGGTGGGCACGGCCTACTGGGGGGTATGGCTGGAGTGGGAGTGGCCTACTGGGTGAGCATGGCCAGCTCTACATTGTTCGCGTCAAGGGTGCCTGTGGGGGCCTGGGCAGGAGTGGGACAGATCTGAGGGTCTCTGGCAGAAGGGGGTGGGACCAGGGCAAGTGCCAAGGCATGGTCCACTGGAAGAGTCTGCTGAAACCCTTTCCCCGGAGCCCATCAAGCCAGATATGTGAAGTAGGCAAGGGCCATTTGCTGGTCACTTCCAGGCCATGGTTCATTTCTTCATTCCTCACAAAGGGTGACACCTCCCCAGCATGCACCCAGGAAGCGGGGCAGATGCGGCAGGGGCTGGTTCCTCGCTGTTTCCAGACGGCCTTGTGGAGCTAAGACTGAATGCGTTTCAGCATAGATGGCCACCACAAAATTGTATATTGGCTCCTGGCCTGCCTGGCCCAGGGCCAAGGCAGTGGGGACCATTCCCTCACTGTTTCCAGGATGGCATCGCGGGCCACATGAAACCATGTCATGGGCTGCATCCGGCCCCCGGACCTTGTGTTTGACATGTCTGGTCTGGAGTTTCTTATTTATAAGGAGAGGCTTTAGGGCAGAGTTCCCCAACCTTTCCAGCTTTGTGGATCGTCGGGGCGGGGGGGAGGGGATGGTTCCATGTGAGCAATGGGCAAATGCATGCATGCGCAGCTCCATTTGCATGAGCAGCGGGCACGTGCAGCTTCCGCTCACGCAAATGGAACACACGTGCACACGCTCAGCCACTGCTTGCGCAAGTGGGGATGTGTGCGCGTGCTCGCCCTCCATTTCTGCACCCTGGTTCCAAATGGCTCAAGGCCTGGTAGTATGGGCCATGGCCCAAAGGTTGGGGAACCCTGCTTTAGGTGGGCCCTGGACATGTTACGTATGGATAAAACTGTCACTGGCCATCATCATGCTGGTTACATTCTTTTTCCCCCTCTGTGGGGAGAAACCAGCATACTGAGAAAGAGGCGGTCCCTAGGTGATTAGAAGCCAGGATCCATAGAAGTGATGGGATTAGTGGCAATGGATACAGCCCCATAGAGAGAACCAGGAATAAACTGGGGCTGAAGCCAAGCTGAAGTGAAGTGGAGGTGGAACAGGACAGTATCTTGCTTGAGAAACTACAGGTAGTCCTCAACTTATAAGAGTTCATTTAATGACCGTTTGAAGTTACAATGGCACTAAAAAAGTGACTTATGACTGTTTTTTACATGACCGTTGCAATATCCCCATAGTCACGTGATCAAAATTCAGATGCTTGGCAATTGACTCATATTTATGACGGTTGCACTGTCCTGGGGTCATTTGATCACCTTTTGTGACTTTCAATGGGGAAGCCAGATTCACTTAACAACCATGTTACTAATTTAACAACTGCAGTGTTTCACTTTACAACTGTGGCAAGAAAGGTCACAACATGTCTTGCTTAGCAACAGAAATTTTGGGCTCAGTTGTGGTCGTAAGTTAAGGACTACTTGTACTAAAGACAAGAGAATGAATATGTTTGTACAAGCATAGTAGTGTTTGTATGTGCATGCTTGAGTGTATCTGGAATGTGTGCATGCATGTATTTCAATGCAAAGTGTTGTGTTTAGGGCTGCAGGTTTAATCTCATTCCTTCTTGTCTTCCAGTCCATCTGCCAGACCCCATGCCCCTCCAAGAAATAACCATGGACCTCTTGACCGTCGACACCTGCAACTGCATTTACAGCAATCTGCGCAACAGGCGGATCATCAACCCTGCCTTGCCTGGCATGGTCTGTGCCCTGACCCCTGACCGCAAGAGAGGACCTTGTAAGGTTAGTCAAACATTACAACCTCCAAAGAAGCATACGTTTGTCTGGCCGCTTCCTTACTGTTGGAATACATGTTGGAATACTTTTTGTATTGCAACAACTACAAAAGCATTCAGTCAGTAGATGGCGGTATTTACAAGTTTGGATCTGCGGTATATACTCTTTTGTGCTAAGTAGCTTCTTGTTTCCTGTTACAGTAATATAGTTGAGCAGTAAAGCACATGGTGACTGTACTTTGTTTGCTCTGTGTGGTGCTTTATATAAACAGAATTTCTAACACTAACCCTGCCGACCTGTCAGGGAATTGCATAGCAGGTGTCCAAATGAATTCAGAGACACTGACGCAAACTTGTAGTTTTATCCAAATAAATATATTTTACATCTATATTTACAGCAGACAAGATAGTTAGACAAACAAGAGCATCATGAGGTAAATCACAGAGCATGTAGGGCACACAGAAGAAAAAGGTGGTAAAAAAGAGAAACTCCCCCTCCACACCCACCGCTACCAATCACAGCGCAGATTACCTCAGGCAGGAGCCAGCCCTCTCCAACCAATCAACTAAAATTGTGTGTTCTGGCTCACTGTGCGACCCCAATGTTCCAGCTACTAAATTTAAATAACTTTAAATGTATCTTGATGGAGAAGAATTGTACACAATTTAAAATTGTTAATTTTAAAACAAGAATGTTTCTAGACCCCTAGTTCTAAGCTTGGGAGTCGGCAGCAGTGCTTGAGGGAACCTTCAAATCCAGAGGCTAGGAAACATTTCAGGAAGTTGTACAATTCCCTCTTTTCCCTCTATTTTTTTTTTCTGGCTGGCACAGAATTCAGCAGACAGTCTTTTGTATAACTTGAGATCATTCGGTCTAGCCCAAGGGTAGGCAACCTGGGCTCTTTTATGACTCGTGGACTTCAACTCCCAGAATTCCTGAGCCAGCCTGGCTCAGCTTGGAAACCTCTCCCTTTCCCCTCAGCATGGCTGGCTCAGGAATTCTGGGAGTTGAAGTCCACGAGTCATAAAAGAGCCAAGGTTGCCTACCCCTGGTCTAGCCCAATATAACAGAATAACAAGGTTGGAAGGGGCCTTGGAGATCTTCTAGTCCAACCCCCTGCTCAAGGCAGGAGACCCTATACTATTCCGGACAAATGGCTGTCCAGTCTCTTCTTGAGAACTTCAAGTGATGGAGCAGCCCCACAACTTCTGAAGGCAAGTCATTCCACGGATAAATTGTTCTCGCTATCAGGAAACTTCTCCTTAGTTTTAGGTTGCTTCTCTCCCTGATTAATTTCCATTCGTTTCTTCTTGTCCTGCCTTCACGTGCTTTGGAGAATAGCTTGGCCCCCTTAAGAAAGTCAAGAAGGTGGGCACCACTGGCCATCAAAGCCCCACCCCTGTTTCACATGCTTCGTGTGTGACCCTGCAACCTCTGATTTTGGTTGATGTGGCTTCCAGGACATCATTTGCTTGACTTTTGCTATTGTTTTGGCTTCCCATTTCTCCAAACTGGAAACTCTTTGAGAACACAAAACAAGAGAGATGCATCTCAACTTTTGAAATTTTAGGTTTATTTACAAATCTATCCAAAAGCTCTAAGCCCTAAACCTAAAACTAAAAAAAAAAAACACCAAAAAAGATGCTGAAGCCTTAGAAAGAGTAGAGAAGAGCAACAGAAGATGATAAGAGCTCTGGAGGCTAAGTCGTAAGATGAACGGCTAAAGGAACTAGGTATGTTTAGCCTCAGGAACAAAGAGAAGGCTAGTGAGACGTGACAGGCGTCTTCCAATACTTGAAGGGCTGACACAGGAAAGAGGGTGTCGATTTATTCTCCAAAGCACCTGAGGGCAGGACAAGAAAGCAAGGGGTGGAAGCCTATCAGAGGAGATCAAACCTGAAAATAAGAAGGAATTTCCTAAGAGTGAGAATAATTAATCAATAGAACAGCTTGCCTTCCGGAGTTGTGGATGCTCCATTGCTGGAGGTTATCAAGAAAAGTTTGGATTAGGAGACCTCAAAGTCCCTTCCAGCTGTGTATTTCTATGATTAAGATTAAAAGACTAACAGAAAAGAGCAACAAAGATGATCAGGGAACTGGAGGCTGAGAAACATATAAGGAACAGTTGCTGGAATTGGGTATGTCTAGTTTAACAAAGAGAAGGATGAGGGGGGGGGGACATGATAGCAGTCTTCCAATATCTCAGGGGTTACCACAAAGAAGAGGGAGTCAAGCTATTTTCCAAGGCGCCTGAAGGCAGGACAAGAAGCAACGGGTGGAAACTAATCAAGGAGAGAAGCAACCTAGAACTAAGGAGAAACTTCCTGACAGTGAGAACAATTAACCAGTGGAACAACCTGCCTCCAGAAGTGGTGAATGCACCAACACTGGAAGTTTTAAAGAAGAAACTGGACAGCCATTTGTCCGAAATGGTGTAGGGTTTCCTGCCTGAGCAGAGGGTTGGACTAGATGACCTCCAAGGTCCCTTCCAACTTTACTACTATTACTACTACTACTACTACTACTACTACTACTACTACTACTACTACTACTACTACTATTATTATGGATCAACGCACAGTCAGCCAGATGTTCAGACTGGATTTGGCATTTTGTCTACCTATCGAGTCCTTACCCAGGACCTGGGATAGGCAGATGTGGATGTTTGATGGTATTACAGATATTGTCGCAGGATTATTATTATTATTATTAACTAGATTTCTCAGTTCTGCTGGTTGGTTTATACACCAATGAATTCATAATTCCCAGTCTTTTCCCTGGCTCCTATCTCTAGTTCCTTTCCTTCGTCTGCTCCATGCTCTTAGCTTAATTGTGTTGCCCATCGGAGGCTGGAGAGGTTTCTAATTTAGCAGCGGGAGGCATCTCCTTGCCACTAGCTCCCACTGGTGGATCATGCAGTAAGAAAGCCTGCTAGCAAAGGAAGAGATGGGGACAGACACCACTGTCCATGCAGAGACAATGCAGATAATCTCTCTTTCCACTCTAGGGCGACTCAGGCGGCCCGCTGGTTTGCCTGGAGAATGGCAGATGGTTCCAGGCTGGGGTCATGAGCTCCTCGTTGAGTTGTACCCAATTCTACGGTCCCACCCTCTTGACGGACATGAGAGCCTACGCCAACTGGATCCAGCATCATGTTGAAGGGGCCTCCTTTGCCAATCAGATTGAGCCCATACCCAACACCACTGACAGTTACATGTGCACAGGTAGGCGTCTTCGCATCTCACTTCTGTGAATACCTTCATTGACCACCCGTCTGCCCGAAGCCTTGCTTCAAGGATTCTGGTGACATTCCATACTGCTCCATCTTCGCCTTCTGATCCAGTTTCAGTTCAGCCTCTCTCTCTCTCTCTTTTTTTTTTTTTCAGAATAGGAAAGGTCTTAATTTAAGTCAGCTGTGGATGCCAGATAAGCGTCTAAGTCTGTTTGCATTGCCAAGGCTTAAACCAGGGGTGTCAAACTGCCGTCCCGCGGGCCGGTTTCATCATACCGGAGCCGCGCCCGCCCCATTGCCGGCAATGGTGAAAAAGCTCTGAGACGTTGCGCGACGTCACGTGACGTCGCGAGTTTGACATGTCTGGCTTAAACCAAAGATCTGCAAGTTTGCTTTTGCAGTAAATTATCAGCTATCAGCCCAAAACAGAAGCAATGGTGCTTGCCTTGGCAACCTGAAGAGATGTGAACTCCAACGCCCAGAATTCTCCAGCCAGCCATGTTGAAGTCCAGACTTCTTAAAATGGCTAAGGTTGAGAAACGCTGCTCCAAACTAGTCACCGGTTCTGTGTAATGGCTGTCGTCTTATAAAGCAGCATTTCTCGACCATAGTAATTTTAAGATGTGGACTTCAACTCCCAGAATACTCCAGAGAATTCTGGGCATTGAAGTCCACACATCTTGAGGTTGCCAAGGTTGAGGAAAATTGGTCTACATTCTAATCTTAATTTAAGACCCATTTAGCGCACCAGAGGGAAGAAGGATTGACAGCCCTTCTTACACTCTCTACCCCTATTGACAATGTTGCCTGGGATCACATTCGGAAGGCCATAGGATTCTCATCGGAACATTGCTTATCTGGCCTATCACAGTTTAAAGCTAGTTATCAGCACCTTTGGATGTGATGGGAATTATATGGCTTATCTATTCATCTAGGCCAGTGGTTCTCAACCTATGGGTCGCAACCCCATTTGGGGTCGATCGACCATTTCATGGGGGTCGCCAAGCAAGGCTGTCCGCCATTTTTTCCCCTTTTCCGGCGGGTGCCTTACCTCCCTTGAGCTGGGCCAGCTGGTGGTCGGCCTGCTCCATCTCTGCCGCTTGCCAGCTACGCCTCGGCCGGCGCAGGGGGCGGAACCACGCATGCGCGGTGCTCCCAGGCAGGGAAAGTCCTCGACTTACAACCGGTTGGGTAGTCCTCGACTTACAACCGGTTTAGTCCTCGACTTATGACCGGTTTAGTCCTCGACTTACGACCGGCCTAGTCCTCGACTTATGACCGGTTGGGGGTCGCGGCATTAAAAAGGTTGAGAACCACTGATCTAGGCATCCAAAGGCCACATCCTGGAGGCTGTGTAATAGTTTCTTCCGTGTGGAATAGTAACATTTTGGATGTGTGTGGGTTGAAAACTAGAAAAATGTTTTCCCTTTCACAGTGGCTCCATGGGCCTCTTCTGCTTCATACTTTATTGTCCCCTTCCCTACACTGTGAAAATCTTTAGTGTCACCAGGCTGCGTTGCTTGGAGGTGTTTGGGGTTCATGACCGGCACACCCCTGCAACGGGGAAGAGGTGCTGATGGAGGTAGTTATCTTTGGGGACTTGAGATGAAGTGACACCTTATGTTATAGGTGGTCCTCATTTTACGCCCATTTGTTTAGTGACCGTTTGAAGTTACAATGGCATTGAAAAAGTGACCTATGACCATTTTTCACACTTATGGCCATTGCAACATCCCCGTGGCCACAAGGTCAAATTTTGGACACTTGGCAACTGGCAAGAACTTGTGATGGTTGCAGTGTCCCAGGGTCACTGCATGCGAAGCAAACATTGACAAGCAAAGTCAATGAGGAAGCCAGAACAGTGTTACTAACTGAAGAACTGCAGTCATTCCCTTAACAACCGTAGCAAGAAAAGCCATAAAACGAAGCAAAACCCACTTAACATCTCTCTTGCTTAGCAACAGAAATTCTGGGCTGAATTGTGGACATAAGTTGAGGACTAACTGTGTTCTTTATTGATCTCCAGGCTGTGGGGTCCTGAAACAGGAGAACAAACCATGGCCTTGGTATACAAGCCTACGGTATCAAGGACAGCATGTCTGTGGAGGCACTTTAATTGGTGAAGACCGGGTACTGACTGCTGCCCAGTGCTTCATTGGGTGAGTACTTGTCAGGCAGCTTCTGAGTAGGGAAGAGCCCATATTGGTCAATATCCACATTCATCGCACTGACTTTGGATTAGATCTGAGAACTTCTTTTCAACTAATGGTGTCCTTTGAACGTTCTCAAGCTTAGCTAAGCTGACCCATTCATTTCTCTGTATCATAAAGATGAATGAATCTGGCACCAAGCCTCAGCCAGGGAGGGTGACGATTTATTTATTTGTATCCTGCCTTTATTATTTTTTACAAATAAGGTGGCAAATATATTCAACATGTCTTCGCTCTCCTATTTGCTCCCTGCAACAATCCTGTGAGGTGGGTTGGGCTAAGAGAGAATGACAGGCTCAAAGTGACCCAGCTGGCTTTCATGGCTAAGGCAGGACTAGAATTCACCATCTCCCGAATTCTCGCCTGGTGCCTTCATCACTAGACCAAACTGACTATGGTAGAATCCCAACTCCCAGAATTTTTGGCCTGGCTTTACAAAAATCAGGACACCTGGAAACCTCCCTCTTTATATTAAGTCAAACCCCCAAAAGTTATTACAGATAACTCTTGACTTACAAGCATTTGTTTAATGACTGTCCAAGTTACAACAGTGCTGAAAAATGTGACATGACCGGGCCTCCTACTCATGATCATTGCAATGTCCCCATGATTACATGATCAAAATTTGGCAACCAGCATGTAGTTACAGTGATTGCAGGACCCTAGAATCATGTGATCACCATTTGTGATCTTTCCATGGGCTTCCAGCAAACAAGCTCAATGGGGGAAGCCAAATTTGTCAACAACTGCATGATTCGCTTAACAACCACATATAGGTGGTACCATACCGTATGCTCAACAGTAGCAACTGTGAGAGGGACCTTGGAGTCTTAGTGGACAATCACTTAAATATGAGTATGCTGCAGCTGCCAAAAAAGCCAACGCAGTGCTACGCTGCATTAACAGAGGGATAGAATCAAGATCACGTGAAGTGTTAATACCACTTTACAATGCCTTGGTAAGGCCACACTTGGAATACTGCATCCAGTTTTGGTCACCACGATGTAAAAAAGATGCTGAGACTCTAGAAAGTGTACAGAGAAGAGCAACAAAGATGATTAGGGGACTGGAGGCTAAAACATATAAGGAACGGTTGCTGGAATTGGATATGTCTACTTTAACGAAGAGAAGTACGAGGGGGGACATGATAGCAGTGTTCCAATATCTCAGGGGCTGCCACAAAGAAGAGGGAGTCAAGCTATTTTCCAAAGCGCCTGAAGGCAGGACAAGAAGCAACGGATGGAAACTAACCAGTTAGAACAATTAACCAGTGGAACAACCTGCCTCCAGAAGTGGTGAATGCTCCAACACTGGAAGTTTTTAAGAAGAGATTGGACAGCCATTTGTCTGAAATGGTGTAGGGCTTCCTGCCTGAGCAGGGGGTTGGACCAGAAGACCTCCAAGGTCCCTTCCAACTCTTGTCATTCTATTCTATTCTATATTCACTTAAGGACTGTGGCAATAAAGGTTCTAAATTTGGATGTGATTCACTTGACGTCTGCATTGTTTAGTGATAGAAGCTCCAGCCCCCATTGTCATAAATTGAGGACCACTTGTACTCAATCCAACGTAATTGCACAGACTTCCTTTCTTGTTTTTCTTGGGCATCATTTTTTTTCCCCTTCTGCCTCATGTTTCCCAGCCGCCAGGAACCCGAAGAGTGGGAGGTGTTACTGGGAGAGCAGCTGGACGGAGGGAATCAAACGTGGCAAGAGAAGAGGACTGTCCAAAACATTGAGCTACACGGTCTCTACGTCGACATGATGGAAGGTTACGACATTGCGGTAGTCACCCTGGCGCAACCTGTGGTGTTCAACGACAGCATCCGGGCCATTTGTGCTCCCTATGCTGCCCACCAGTTCCCCTTTGGCTCTACTTGCTGGACCCGCGGGCGGAGAATTGGTACGTTGTAGATCAGCACGACAGGGAGAGCGGGATGGATTTTTCATCCAGGATAGGCTTTTAATAGAACTTGTAACCTGCCAACTCACTCAGATACAAGATAAGGAGAAAAAGAGAGGTTGCTCACAACTCAGGATGCTGCCTGGCCTGGCGTTGAAGAGATCTGTGGTGCTTTGCAGGGGAAAGAGGGAAGGAGAAGAGGGTGGAGTTGGGGCAATTGAATGGAGCTGAGCGTTTACCGGCTGGATGCCCTTCCTGACACCTATGCAGATATGTTCTCTTTGCACCCAGAGAGAGAGAAATATCTGCCCCTACCTAGGATTGAACTTATTGCCTCCTGATTGTGAGGCAGGAGCGCCACCTCTAGGCCAGTCATGGCGAACCTTTGAGAGACCGAGTGCCCAAACTGCAACCCAAAACCCACTTATGCATCGCCAGGTGCCGGGTGGGTGTGGCCCATTGGGTGGGCGTCACTGGGTGGGACTAAAAAGTTCAATCAATCAATTCCAACTTTGCAAGATCTTTTTTTTCCCCGCGAGAAGTTGAAATTGACTGATTGATTGGACCTTTTTTTTTTTTTTGCACAGAGGCCTAAAGCGGCAGAGGCCTAAAGTGAAAAGGTTTTATAAAACCCAGCTGAGGGCCTAGGACTTGGGCGACGGCACGCGTGTGCACAGAGAAGGCTCTGAGTGCCGCCTCTGGCACCCGTGTCATAGGTTCGCCACCACTGCTCTAGGCCAGGGCTTTTCAACCAGTGGTACGGGTACCACCTGTGGTACATTGAGCTGAACCGGTGTCAGCACCGCACAAGCCTGAGCGAGAGATGGCTGCAGCTGCAGGGCTGTCAGGGCTCAGCGGAAGCACCAGGATCAGCGCCAGGCTCCAGCTGGAGCTCGGCACAGATCCTGGCGCTTCTGCTGAGCCCAGAAGAAGCATCGATCAGCTGGAATGTTGCAGCATCTCCAGAGTCTTGTGATTTACATTCAGATGCTTGACAACTGATTCATATTTATGACGGTCACAGTGTCCCAAGGTCATGTGAAGTGACTAAAACCTGCTGCAACCACCCAGCAGACGGGGGGAATAAAAACCAAACACCCCCCCACCCTACCCCCACTGCCAATCCTCAACAGAAATGCTCACAACAATGAAAACCTCGGACAGGAGGAAGAGCGCCGCCAGGTGGGCAGGCAGGTGTCTTGCTCGGCTGTGGCTTGGGGGGCACTTTTTTCAGTGCCATTGTAACTTCGAACAGTCACTAAGCAAACTGTTATAAGTCGAGGACTACCTGTACTTTATCACTTTATTCCTTCTTTTTTTTTTGGTCAAGTTTTTGACACCTTGCTAGGCGACTGGTGGTACTCGGATGTTGCTATATCCTAAAAGTGGTACAATGGGTGAAAAGGTTGAAAAGCCCTGCTCTAGGCCATCACGCTGCTCGTGTAGAATTACTCCCGCTATTTAACAATATTGTTCCCTCTTTATCCAGATGATCATGGGAAGCCAGGTCCTCTGCAAAGTGTGGAGGTGAAAATACTTGGCCCAAAGAATTGCAACTGCCGCTACAATGCGACCAGCGAGCCTGGGAATGAAATTCCCATCGTATCTGAGATGATCTGTGCAGCACCACATAACAGAACCATGCCTTGTGAGGTAAGCGATGGCCGTGTTTCAACTTAGAGATGATCATAAATGACATAAGTGGGAAAAAAAAGGGAGCTGGGTTATCTCTCTAAAACTGAATTGTCCAGTTTTTTTCTTTTCTTGTATGACTCCATTCATTAAGAGTTTTAATGCAATAAAAAAATTCTACTTTAGGTCTTTTCACATTTCCCAACAGTGGCACCTTTTGACAGATTTGGTAATGTACGCACATCTACCTGAGTGCAAAAAGGGAATAAATGAGGGCCCCAGCCAAGCTGTTTCTTACTTTCAGTCCCTTCTGCACCCCATTTTGGAAAAATGAACATTTTTTTTTTGCCAGACACCAGTGGTTTTTACTGTTTCCTCATTCTCCTGCATGGATTTCCATTGAATAAGGAGCAGAAATGCTCGTTTCAGTGCAGCCTTTACAGAATTTTGAATTTGAATTTCCCCTGAATCCCAAATTCTAAATTTCTCCTCAGAGTGAAATTTGTTTTTCTACTATTGAAGTGAATTCAGGAGTACTCTGGGATTAGCCAGTGATATAGCAGCCGTTGTGTGTACTATGAAAAGACACCACCACCAAAATAAAGTTTTCATCAGATGCTGTGGCTTAGATTCAACGGAATCAGAGTGAGGACCTTCACCCTAACCACCCTCACAAACACTAGTGACAAGCAGCACAATGCCAGAAGATTGAATTTATGCAAACACCGGGCTCTTTTTTGGGGGGGGGGAGACTTGAGAATTCTGGATTCTCCCTGAAAAAAATGAAAGGACCAAATATATTTGATTTGGATTCTCATGTGTTTTAAAATTTAACACGTGATTTAAATGTGGCCTGTTTTGTTAGAAGTTTCAGAGGTAAATTATGTTGAAAATGGTGCACTTAAACATTTGTGGGAACTTTTTTGTGCAAATTGACCCTGTTTGGGGTAGACTATTTCCTAACTCCTGGGAAATTAGAATTCCTTGCCACAGTAAAAAGGCACCCCAAACATTGATTAGTTAAATAACTGTTATTTACCTATTATTAACTGAGGCACTGATGTTCCCCAAGGGATAAAGCAAAAATCAGGGCAAAAATCATATTTTCCGCAATGGAGCTGTCCGTCATCTGTGGTGCTGAAATGTTCAATGCAGGGTTGTTTTAAGGCAAGGGTGTCAAACTGAATTTCATTGAGGGCCGCATCAGCATTGCGATTGCTCTCAGGGGGCCGGGTGGGTGTGGCCAGGGTGGGTGCGGCCTACTGGGTGGGCATGGATGTGGTGGGTGTGGCCTGCTGGGTGGGCGTGGCCAGCTCTACATCGTTCACACCAAGGGTGCCTGTGGGGGCTTGGGCAGGAGTGGGACAGATCTGAGGGTCTCTGGCAGAAGGGGGTGGGACCAGGGCAAGTGCCAAGGCATGGTCCACTGGAGGAGCCTCACTGTTCCTCTCAGGCCATGCCTGGGGGGGGCTGGATGGTGGTGTGGGCTGCCCGGAGCCCTGGGCAGCAGAGGTCAAATGCCCAGCCTGGCCCTTGAGCACCCGTGGCACCAAACCCAGCCCCACTTCCTCAAGGCTGCTGCTCAAGGTTCTCCTGGTTCCTCGCTGTTTCCAGACAGCCTTGTGGAGCTAAGACTGAATGCGTTTCAGCATAGATGGCCACCACAAAATTGTACATTGGCTTCTAGCTAGCCTGGGCCAGGGCCGAGGCAGAGGGGGCCGTTCCCTCACTGTTTCCAGGATGGCTTCGCGGGCCACATGAAACCACTTTGCGGACCGCATCTGGCCCCCGGGCCTTGTCTTTGACATGTCTGCACTAGAGTTAGGAATATATTTGGAACAAATTAATTATTATAATGTACTTAATGCAGGGCAATCATGAATAGTTGTATATTGCACTACAGCATATTTACATTTCAAAATGCTTTTTATTTTTTGTCAAATACCCCTGCTTAAAATTTCTCTCATTCCCCTACTCACAATTTCAATTGTTGTCTGTTCACGCACATCTTTTTGATGGAACAGAAACAACATCCTACAATCCAAAATGCCATAAGCCATAAGCCAACAAACAAGTTGTTTCTTTGGCTGTTTCCTAGCTTTAGTCCAATATACAGTTCTTTATGTTGATTGGAAATGAAACCCAGACGTTCTGTCTCAGATCTTTTCCTCATTTAAGCCAACGAAACTCAAAATGCAACCTGGGAATTTTCATCCATTTTGTCCCATATAAAAGACACTGCAGAGGTACTATTGTAGATAGTAACGTTAATGGAGCTCTTAAGCAAAATAGCATCTAGCTGATCTTATCTAGGCATGTAAAATAAACAGGATTGGACCTAGCTAGGTGACTGGTGGGAGACCACCAGGGAATACCAGTTAAGTTATTATGGAAAATTGAAAAAATACCACATAATAAAGCAGAATAAATGACCCCAACTCTTATTTTACACAGACTTAGATTTTTTTGAACATTGTAAGTAGAGGTTATATTTGAGACTAATAATAAAGGACAACTGAATTATGATTTGCAACTACTTGTATTGTGTAAAATCAATATTCAGATAACTCAAATAGCATTGCTTCTTTCTGCCTGCATTATCTCTGCCTTATGATTTGGAAATGTTGCCCCACAGCTTCCCATTTTGGTTCTTGTTGGCTAGAGATGGTAATCTTTCTACTCTTGAATCTCTAGGTAAGCCCCGGAGATCCCTTGGTTTGCAGTCACAATGGGGTGTGGTTCTTGGCCGGAATTTCCAGCTTTGGAAATGGATGTGGAACTATAATTCGTCCAGGGGTTTTCACACCAGCCCAGAAATACGAAGAGTGGATCATGAAGGCTGCCTGGTCCGCATACTACAATGTGCAAAAGCCCCCTCTACCAAAGGCCACAGATGAAGAGACTTGCCTCAAAGTGTAGCTTGCTTGTTAACATCTAGCAAACTCATGAATCAGGATTTCTCTTACAGTGAAGGATTGAAAAGCAAACTTTTGCTTCATCTCATGATCTGTATATACCTCTGTCTTGAAGCAACTTGAATCTTGGTATAATAATCCAACAAGCCAGAGAAATTCTCTAGTCAACATTGCATTCAGCTTACTCATGTTTCTCAACTGTGGCAACTTTTAAGACGTATGGACTTCAACTCCCACAATTCCGTCACGCATCTTAAAGCTACCAAAGTTGAGAAGCACTGTCTTAGACATCCTGTTCATACAGTTACATTTCTCATTTCATCATTTTTTTTTAGTCTGTAGTTCTCCAATCCTGATTCTAAAATATCAGATTGACAAATATTTGTCAAAATGTATTTCTTTTTTTCCACCTCAAACTACGCCTGGGACTAAACTGACCAAAACTGACTTGCCCAGTTTTTATACTCCCCAAAATCCATTTTCAAAGGCTGTGAAACTTATATAGTCAATATGTCCTGCTTTTTAATGGATTTTTCTTCTATCATTTTCTAAAAAAACAGACCACACACATCAAGTGATCTGTGTACTAAATCTTTCTAGTGTAAGTAGAGTCTTGCCAATTAGTTATGGACAGCCCCATACCATTTACATTTTGTTTCAGTGACTATGAGTCTCTAGTATTTCAATAGAATTATTAGACAAGAGGATTGAGACTGACATACTTCCCCCAATGCATTAAACCATGATATGGCTTGTTTCCTTCAGCGTTAAGTATTCTACAAACTTAACTGCTGTGGTTTTTGGCTTAGCCTTTTAAACAAACCCTAAGGGTGGTTTGTTATACTGTGTACGCCATGGTTATATATAAACCTTTGTACCATATATGAGCCCAGACTACAGCTTCCTTGGCATCTGTAGCCAAGCCAGGAATCCAGGTTTCTTACCCTACTCTTGCTTCCTTTGAGCCTCAGCACTTCACTACAAATCATCTTCATTTTGAAAGCAGGATGTGGGCAGAATCTTGGGTTTTTCGTCTGAATTAAAAGCATCCAAGCTAATTTTGAGGGATTTTTTTCTCCCAAGATGATAAAACTGACATGGATTTGTTGGTGTATTTACTTTCAATGTTCCATTTAATGAAGTAAGTTATTGAAACATTTCTAAACAAATCTGATTATTTGTACATGGTAATGTTGCTGATTGTATAGGCTTTAATTGTTGGGAACCAGCATCTTGCACTCTAGAAAGGATTTGGTTGTTCATCTTTTGTCTTTTTAAAACATCTTCTCCCCCGTGCTGATTTATAATATGCTGTACTTTTCTGCCTCTGTGTGTAGATATATTTATATTTGATAACATGTATTTATTATATTTGGTTTTTCTATTAAGTTACTGTGAACATTTGTTTGGAAAATTGGGATGTAAACAATTAATAAAAGCAAGGCAAGCATTACCGTTGTTTGTAGCACAATATTGCCACAATGATAATATCGTAGAGACTCCTCAACTTAAGACGATAACTGAACCTGGAATTACAGTTATAAGTTGTGGTCATTAAACAGATCACCATGTGACTGGGCCTGATTTTATGACATGTTTTCAGGCAGTCCTTAAGTAGCGGACTGCAGCCAGGCATTGGGGACCCCTGTATTAATGGGAGCCAGCACACACACACACACACACCTCTACTTATCTATCATCTAATCCAGGGGTGTCAAACTTAATTTCATTGAGGGCCGCATTAGCATTGCGGTTGCCCTCAGGGGGCCGGTGGGTGTAGCCACGGTGGGTGCGGCCTACTGGGTGGGCGTGGATGGAGTGGGTGTGGCCTACTGGGTGGGCATGGCCAGCTCTACATCGTTCGCGTCAAGGGTGCCTGTGGGGGCCTGGGCAGGAGTGGGACAGATCTGAGGGTCTCTGGCAGAAGGGGGTGGGACCAGGACCACTTCCAGGCGATGGTGCATTTCTTCATTCCTCACAAAGGGTGACACCTCCCCAGCATGCACCCAGGGGACGAGGCCGAATCAGCAGGGGCCGGTTCCTCGCTGTTTCCAGACGGCCTCGTGGAGCTAAGACTGAATGCGTTTCAGCATAGATGGCCACCACAAAACTGTATATTGGCTCCCTCCCGGCTGGCCTGGGCCAGGGCCAAGGCAGTGGGGGCCGTTCCCTCACTGTTTCCAGGATGGCTTCGCGGGCCACATGAAACCACTTTGCGGGCCGCATCCGGCCCCCAGGTCTTGTGTTTGACATGTCTGATCCAACGGTAGACCTTACCGTTCCATGAGATCAAACTGACAGATCTGTCTGCTGCTGTGCTGATGACCTCGGCCGGCTTGCCTAAAAACTTTTTTGACACCTCCCCTCCCCCTGTTCAAAACAGCAGAGAAAGCACTTTTATTTTAAAAAGTAGAAACAATTTATTTGCCACTGAGGTTTTTCACAGTTCTACGCCTGGGCGCCAGGGGGCACCAAAGACCTTTCGAAAGAAAATCGCAGGCCTTTAAACATAAGTTGGGCAAAGTCTTCCTCCAATTGGGGGGGGGGGGAATAACCTTTTCTCGCTTGGTAACCTGAACTAGAGCACCAGTTCCTGCCGGACAGCGTGCTTGCTGGGGATGATAGGGACTGTAATCCAGCCCACCCGTTGACGGTATCAATTTGGAAAGGCTGGGGAGCCCAGTAGCAGTTGTCTCCCCTTCTCCATGAGGGCAGCGGCAGCTAATGGTTTGAGAGCATGTCAGAACAGCAAAATATGAAGGGTTGGAAAATTTCTTCCCCTTCAGTTCTGCCTTTCTTCACCACCACCACCACCATCACCACCACCCCGCCCAGCCAGGAGCTTTCAAATCTAACGACATCAAATAATGTCTCGAATCGTATTTCGTGCCAGCATTTAAGGAGGAGGGGAAGCATTTGAAAACGTACGAAACTCAAAATTTATTTTTTCCTTTCGCGAGGTTTCTTTCTTTCTTTCTTTTTTTGCTGAACCAGAGCCAAAATGTCAGTTATCCAAAAACAGCAGCATAAAAACAGGACTTGATCGTCAACATTCTGGAGTTATCGGGCATCGTAAGGATAAAACGTTGAAGGCAGAAAAAAAACAGATTTTTTTTCAGCTGGCGAAATAAACCAAACACGTGTCCCTCCCACGCCCTATTAAAAATATTACCCGCCTATGTTAGAAATTCTATAAAACTTTTAATCACAAATGAAGAGCTCTTACCTACTTAAAAACATTTATTCTTTCACTGAACCAAATTCTACCTGAATGAGAACAAAACCGGGGGCTGGCCTCAGAGCGAGTCGTGAAACGTGTACCCGGGCCAACCCCAAACAGAAGAAGATAGCCTGGTGATGGTCAAGTTTCTAGTCCTCTTGTTTTAATATTTTTTAAAAAAAATGTTTTCATAATCCCACCCGCCGCGTCCTTGTTCATTCTAAAAGCCGATCGCTATAAACCATTTACAAATTCTAGAGATTATGAGGGTGACCGCTCTTTGAGGCATCTCCAGCAACCTCTGGCTGCTCCCCGGAGAACAGGGAAAGCACGTTTGGGATGCTTCATTTCAAGGCATTTCAATTCTGGCTGGTCTTTTAAAACAACCTCAGGTTGTTTGGAAAACAAGCCCGCCCGACTTGATTCCCTTCTCTGTTTTCTGAGCTGCAGAGAAAGTCCCCTCCCAGGGGTTAGAATCCCTTCTCTGCCATCTGATCTGCATCCAGATCAACACTAAGGCCTAAAAGGATCCAAGTACTCTGGGCAAAACAGCATTAAGTGATCAACCCCTCGCAAGTACTCCAATCGTTCTCTCAAGCTGAGATTTTTTTCTCACGACAACTGAAACAAGGAAATCTTCCTTTCCTGCTCTGTCGGCTTCCCAGTGTTGGACCACCAGGCCTATTATCCTGAGCCACCTTGCTACTGACTAGCATTGTTAGTCTTGCCTGTTGAGAACTGAAATGGGGAGAAATAAAGGGCACTGTTTCATATGGTGCAGGATTAGGCTTAGTAACTATTCCTCAGGGGAATTCAGATCCAGACTGGATGGGAGAGTAAATATGCCTTTAACAGAAGGGTTTTCTTCTTATTAAAAAACAAAAAACAAAAACCCAACAACTAAGCATCAGGTGGAGAAAGGACGCCTAATACTATCTGTGCCAAGCCCTGTGCAGATCTCATGAAGAACAAGATTAATTAGCTTTCCACATCAGCTAGGACAGTGTTTCTCAATCTTGACAATTTTAAAGCATGTGGACTTCAACTCCCAGAATTCCACAGCCAGCATTGCTGGCTGTGGAATTCTGGGAGTTAAAGTCCACATGCCTTAAAATTGTCAAGGTTGAGAAACACTGAGCTAGGATCCCAATTATTAGGCTTATACTAATGATATTATTTACGTTGGGACACACACACACACACACACACACACACACACACACACACACACACACACACACACACGCCCTGCATTTTGAAGGCAAAGTGGCAACTGAAAAGAAATTAAAATTAAGTGCCTTCCATGCTATCTCAAAAGAATGGCAGAATCGAACCAATCTAGATGTGACAAGAGCTCAGAAAGTTGAGCCCTTTGAAAGTTTCCTTCAATAAAAAAATAGACCAGATGCTTCTCTCCCAACCTAACCCAACTTGGCTTAAAGAGAAATAAAAGAATGTGAGAGTGAGTCTGGTCTTCAAAATCACCCTACGGGAGAGTTTGGGTCATAAAATGACCCCTTCCCCTTCAGCTGGGCATCCCATGTCTTCTTCTAACAAGATGGCAAAGATGGCTGCCCCAACCACAGAGATCCAAAGGTCGGTGAGGGTAGCTATGGCCAAGAGGCGTTCCCAGAGTTGGCTTCTTCCAGATGCTTTGGATGGCAACAACCCACCATTCTCAGCCAATATGGTGATAGGGATGGTGGGCTAACCCATTTGGAGGATGCCAAGGGGAGGGGGATCAAGAAAGGGACTAAGAAGATGGAATCTTCCTCCCAAGAGATAGGCCTATAAGAAGTCCAATTAAGTTCGGAGGGCAATGAAGAATGTTTTTTCTTGATGACTCAAAATCCCAAAATAATTTTTGTTTGGGATCTATTCTGATAAATCACAGCCAGCAGAGGTTCTGCCAAGAAGAGCCAGTTTTACCCACATAAGCCTAAAACTTTCGGTCTAGTTTCTCTAGCAAGCATTTCGCATAAACCCTAGTACCTTTTGGCAAACGTTGGTTTCAGAATCCATTTTTGAAAGCGATCAAAACCTACGTCTCGTGAACGGGTTTTTTTTAATGTTTCCTTGCATACCAAGGAAACGGGTACATTTTTTGAGTGAAGGAGGTAGAATTATTTTTTTTTTAAAAAAAGGATTACTCCACACCAAGGATTATTGTCTTCTTCTTTAACTCTTTGTTCAGGAACAAAACTGAGACCCACCCCCAGTATTCTCGCTTTCCCTATAAGACAGTACTTTTGCCATTAAAAAAACAACAACAAAACCCAGCAATTTAAATACTATATGCAGCTTAAACATGGAGTTAGCTACTCATCTGACTTCCCAAAAGGATTCAAAAGGATAGAAAACAGCTCAAAAATGCAAAGAGCAGAACGTCGATGCCCAATCCTCTTGAAGTCCCGAGGGTGCTAAAAGTCAGTTCCCCAAAGAGGATCCAAGGCAGAAAAGATAGGACGTTATTTCCAAGAGACACCACAGAGGTGTGTTAGGTTATGTGCTCAACGTAACATTTGGTCGTAGGAGAAAACCCACCACCGTCCCACCTCGCCTGTTCTCTTCCATGCTATCCCAGCTTGATTTTTTCTGATCTATGTTCTAAAAAAAAAAAAAAAAGCTGGGGAACCATGGAGCCAATCTTCCTTGTCTTTTCTCCCGTCGATGTGGCCCCAGGCTCCCCATCTGTGACCAAGTTTAACCTTTCCCTCCCCCTTTTTTTTCCCCCAACGTGTGGACAATTGTTCCCATGAAGCCAGCTTCCCACCCAACCTTGACCGTTTCCCTGTAATTGGATCTCCCTGCCATACCATCCTTGGTGCACCTTCCCCACGTGTGGGCTAATATCCCCTCAGTTCCCTTCCCCTGTGATGCTGCCCTGGAGAGCGTGGTGCCCATCAACCTTGCTGTGCAACAACTGGTGCTGCTGGAAGGTGGGATGGTGGAAGAACGTCTTCGAGCAGACGGAGCAGGAGAAAGTCTCTTCTTCCTTAGACCTGCCGTGGACCTTGGTGTGGGCGGTCAACCGCTTGGCCGTCCGGAAGGCCTTGCCGCAATGGGGGCATCGGTGGCGTTGCTTGTCCGTGTGGATGTGGAGGTGGTTCTTGAGGGCCAGAAGGTTGTAGAAGTCCCTCTGGCACGTGGGGCAGTGGTAGAGGCCTGTCGCATGGGCCTTCTTGTGGTTAAGCAGACTACCAGGATGACGGTACGTCCGCTCACAGCTATGACACTTGTAAGGCTGGTCCTCCAGCAGCTTGCCCTTAGGACTGTCCCCTCTTTCCTCAGCTTGATGCCTTCTTAGGTGCTGCATCAGATCCCTGGAGGCCCGGTAAGCTTTGCCGCAATCCGAGCACTCCAAACGTTTCTTTGTACGCGCACGGCTGCGGTTCTTTTGGCAGGCGCGCTTGCGAAAGCGTTTGGGGCGCAGCTGGCTCTGCAAAGTCCCAACAGGTGCCTCTCCGGGGTTGTTCCCCTGCTCCCTTCCGGCATCGGCTTTAGTTCTTTCGGGCTCTTGCCCCGGCGTGACCTTGCCGCAAGGATGAGGCCGGCGCTGGTGTCTCTGCAGCTGCCGTTGCCACTTGAAAGCCTTACCGCATTCGGGACACTGGTGGCGTTTCACCTCGTAGTGGATGCGCTGGTGGTTCTTCAGGGACATGAGGTTGGGGTAAGCCTTGCTGCACAAGGCGCAGGCGAAGTGCCCCACCTTGTGGCTCTTCTGGTGGTTGAGCAAGCTGCCTGCGTGGCGGTATGAGCGCCCGCACTGCCCGCACCTGTACGGACGCTCTTCGGGGTCCGGAAGGAGCGGGAAAGTCTCTGCCTTGCCAGCTCGCCTGGTCCGAAGGGGCCTCTGGACAGAGCGGAAAGCAGGCTCCGGCCTCCTGTCCCGATGCACGCGCTGGTGGCTGGCCAGTTGCTTCTGGAGCCGGAACGCCTTGGGGCACTCGGCACATCGGTAGCGTTTGGTTTCAAAGTGGGTGCGGTTGTGGTTTTTGAGGGCCATGAGGTTGTAGAACTGCTTCTGGCAAATGCCGCAGTGAAAGAGGCCTGTCTTGTGGGTCTGTTTGTGGTTGATCAGGCTGCCGGCGTGCTTGTAGCTACGCCCGCAGACGTCGCACTGGAAGGGGCGTTCCGAGAGAGAGTCCTCCTCCTCCTCTGCCTGAGGACCCTTCTCCTCTCCTGCTCCTTCTTCCTCTACCGTCTCCATTTCCTGTATTGCTCGGTGGACCTCCTTCCGCTCGTTCCCCTCTCCAGGAACACCACATTCCCGAGCTTCTCTGCTCTCCGACAGGCTTGCGCTCAACTCTTCTCCTTGTTCCACTCTTTCTTTTCCTATAGGAGAGGCAAGGAGAGAGTCACTTGGGGGAGCGTCTCCCTTTTGGGAACCGCCACAAGGCTCCTTCTTCAGCCTCTCGTAAGGGCAAGGCAGCCCCCTTTCTGCAGCGGGGACCGGCTGCCGGAGTTGGGCGACGCTGCCGTTCATCTTGCATCTTGGATGGTTTCGAAGGTGATTCCGGTAGGCAGACAGGTTACAGTACTGCCGGCAACAGACGCTGCACTGGTAATCTCCAATCAGGTGGATCTTTTTGTGATTGACTAAGCTGCCACCATGCCGGTAGGTCTTGCCACACTGACCACAGGCGTAAGGCCGGCTGTCCAGCAGGTCATCGGCAAGAGGAAGTGCTTCCACCAAAGGTGGGGGTGGAGGGGGCGGGTCATCCTCCATGCGCGGAGCTCGCCGGAGCTGGATGGAAGTATCGGCCAAGGCTGCCGCTCTCTCTTCCAGGTGCCCGTTGCTGTGCTCTTCCAAGCTGGCCATATCGTCAAATGTCTGTCCACAATAACCGCAGATGTGGGAGAGGAGCTGGTCCTCCTCCGAATCCCCTGCACCGTCCAGCTGCTCTTCGGTTTGCCTTTTCAACACGTCTGGACTGTCGCTCTGGCTGTCGCCGTCCTCGTGCAGGAAGCTGTGGTGATGCTGAAGGCTCTCTTCGCTGGGGAAGATCATGCCACAGAGGCTGCAGAGGAACGGCTGCTCCTCAGAGTGGCCTTCGCCCACCGGGTTCTCCTGGCCGGGTGCCGTGGCCTTGGCATGCCCGTGGAAATGGTGTCTTAGAGCAAGGAGAGTGGGATACTCTTTAGGGCAGAGAGAGCATTGGTAGATGCCAGCTTGGTGGGTCTGTCTGTGGTCAATCAAGTTCTTGGCCTGGTCAAAGCCCAGCCCACACTGCTCACAGAGGTAGGGAAGAGCGTCATTATCCCCAGGCAATGGGGAAGACACTTGCGACTGGGACTGCCAGCCATTGGCTAAGGCATCTTTTTCCAGAGCGCTGCGACTATCTTCCGGCTCTTCTGCCAAAGATAACACCATGGGCATGGCAGTGCTAGTTTCAGTTTCAGTCTCCACGTTCATGGTCACCAGCGTCTCGGACAGTCCTCTCCTGGGTCTCTGATGGCCACGCAAGTGGCTTTTAAGGGAGGCCACATTTTGGAAGTGTTTGCCGCAAAGTGAACAGCTGAAGTCCCCCGTCTGGTGTGTCTGCTTGTGATTGATGAGGCTTCCTGAATGCCGGTACGATTTGCCACACAGGTCGCACCCGTAGAGACGCTGGAGGGGGACAGGTGGGTCGGTTCCTTCTGTCATCCCCTCCAAGTGCTCCTCTCCACTGCTATGTTGCACGGCGTGAGTCTGCAGGCCAGCCACGGTAGGAAAGGCCAACCCACACTGGTGACAAACGTGAGACATTTCTGAGGCCAGGATGTCCTCGGCTACTGCTGTCCCATTCTCCAGGGCTTCCACATCCTGTTTAATAGTCTGAAGAAGATCTGCTTCCTGAGAGTGAAGGGCGCCAAGCCGAGGCACTTCCGCCGTCTCGACGTCCTCTGTGCAGGGCAGATGGCGCAGCTGATGAAGCTGGAATTCGGCCTCTTCCTCAAAACTCTCTCCGCAATTGCTGCACGTCAAACCGTCCCCTAATTCTTTGCCCCACAGGCGGGCAGCCCGCAAATGCACGCGGACGTGGTTGCGGAGTGCCATGAGATTGGAGTACTGCTTGGGGCAGATGGAGCACTGGAAGATTCCGGTCTGATGAGTGTGGCGATGGTTCACCAGGCTGCCCCGGTGGCGGTAACTCCGCCCGCAATCTTCACACCGGTAGGGTCGCTCTTCCTCTCCGAGAGTCCTTTCTTCCTCTTCCTTGGGACAGGCGGCTGGTCCTCTCCAGGCATCCATGGGCTGGGCCGGGCAGTCATCCGGGCAGTCCTGCGCTTTCGGTGGGTCCAAGATCCCAGACGGGTGCTGGGAGGCCTCTTCTGGGGCCGAGGCGTTGAGCTTGGACCTGAGGTGGACCCGCAAATGATTCTTCAAGGCGGCCAAATTGTACAACTGTTTTGAACAGACGGTACAACTGTACACCCCGATCTGGTGGCTCTTCTTGTGGTTAATGAGGCTCCCTGCGTGGCGGTATGTCCTCCCACAGTCCCCGCAGCGGAAGGGGCGCTCTTCAAACATGGGAAAGCCTTCCTCGCTCTTCAGACGGGCTTCCCAAGCTTCGTTGGAGCTGGGAGCTGCTTGTAAAGGGCTGCTGCCTTCAGCCTCTTCTTCATCTGCCTCCTCTGGGTAAAGGCAGCTGTGTTCTTTCAGCTCCTCCTCGTTGGCGAAGGTCCCGCCGCAGCGGACGCAGAGCTCTCCATCCGGATTACAGCGTTCTCCACCACCAGCCTTGGAGGTATCTTTAAGGCTGCAGGGTGCCCTGTCCCCAAAATCTGTGCCCACGGGTGGTGGCTGATAGATGTCCAACTTTGCTGAAGTTTCTATGGAGTCCTCCTCCCAAACGTCGTGCTCCGAATCTTCCCAGGACTTGCTCTCCTCCTGGCTGTGGGCTTTCTGGTGGCTCAGCAGCTCCGAGGGCAACCGGAAGGCTTTGTGACAAAACCGGCACTTGTAAGGCCGATACTCCGAGTGGAGACGGGCGTGGCTTCGGAGGGCCATGAGGTTGGAGAACTCCTTGTAGCACATGGCGCACTGATAGACCCCCAGCGTGTGGCTCTGCTTGTGATTGGTCAAGCTGCCGGCGTGTTTGTAAGCCTTGTCACACTGGTTGCATTTGTAGCGGCGCTCGCCCTCCACAGCAGCCAGCAGCCCAGGCTCTTCCCCAGCCTCCTCGTGCCCTGGGAGCGGATCCTGCTTCTCCCGTTCCATCTTGATTGGAAAGTCCTGCTGAGAAAAGTCAGCTGGCACCACCGACTCAGCAATGTACTTCTCCAGATTGGACAAAAGGCTCCCGCTGCTGCCTTCCATCCCAGAACGGGGGTCAACATCTGAAGAAGATGTGCCCTGGCCCCTTTGGAAGCTGTTATCGCTCTGGCCTTCTTCCTCCTGCTCCTGGTTGGCCTGAGCTGGGCAGTGGTGGCTGGGAAGCTGGGATGAAACTCGGAAGCTTCTGCCGCAGTCTGGGCATTTGTGATGCTTCTCTTCCGTATGAGTGCGCAGGTGGCTCTTGAGAGACATGGGGTTGGAGAAGTCCTTGCGGCATAGCAGGCAGCGGAAAAGGCCAACCTCGTGGGTGCGGCGGTGATTCACCAGGCTGCCAGCGTGGCGGTAGCTCCGCGGGCACTGCTTGCACTTGTATGGCCGTTCCTCCTGATCCACAGCTGGCTCACTGCTCAGACCAGCATCACCCTCAGCCATAGCTCACGTCCAACGTCCTTCTTAATCCTGGCTCCCTTTAAAAAGGGAGCCACTGGCATTTGGAAGCACCCCTCGGTCTCATGGCACGGCTTCGGGTCCCCTCTTCTCGCCCAACCATTCCAAGACCTGCAGAGAGAGAGAAAGAGGGGCAGCAATGAGGAGGAATCCCCATGATCAGAGTGAGGCATTACCGGAACTAGAATGCGCAAGAAACGGTCAAATGCTACAAATCACATCTTTGCGTAGAGCAGTGTTTCTCAACTTTGGCAGCTTTAAGGCAGGTGGACGTCAGCTCCCAGAATTCCCCAGTCGGCCTGCTGGCTAGGGAATGCTGGGAATTGAAATCCACAAACGTTTAGGTGGATTTACACCAGGTTGATAAACACCGGTGTAGAGTCAAGACTGAGTGAGTTTTTCTATTTTCTATACAGAATTCCAGTTCAAGTTTCATATCAAACTTTTGATTGTTTTTTTTAAAAGGGGGGGGGGGGCTATGTTATAATAGGAAGCCATACAACTGGTAATCACAGAACCTGGGTGTCTTATGAGTATCTTACAGTATTTAACAGAGATGGGAGACCTTTCCCCCCATAAAGCAGGGGTCTTCAAACTTGGGCCTTTTATGACCTGTGAACTTCAACTCCCAGAATTCCTCAGCCAGGCACGCTGGCTGAGGAATTCTGGGAGTTGAAGTCCACAGGTCATAAAAGGGCCAAGTTTGAAGACCCCTGCCATAAAGGATGCCTAATTTTCTGAGGGGAATTGGCAACAGGTTGGGCTGGGTAAGAATCAAGCTGCTGTCACTATATGTCACTTTATTCTGTCACTCTTAATTTTACTCCTCCGTAGAGAGAGATTAAGGATTTCTAGAGTAATGTTTCTCAACCTTGGCCACCTTAAGATGTGTGGACTTCAATTCCCAGAATTTCTGAGTGAGCATGCTGGCTGGGGAATTCTGGGAGTTAAAGTCCACGCATCTTAAAAATGCCCATAGTTGAGAAACACTCTCTAGAGCTTGATGGGATAATTGTGAAGTTTCTCCCCACTTCTTTTGCTGTTCCATTTTTTTCATATTTCCCATTTTTAACTCTAGTGTCTTTGTTACACTGGGTCAGGGGGGTCAAACTCAATTTCACTGAGGGCCGCATCAGCATTGCGGTTGCCCTCGGAGAGGGGGGCAGGGTAGGTGTGGCCTACTGGGTGGGCGTGGATGGAGTGGGTGTGGCCTACTGGGTGGGCATGGCCAGCTCTACATCGTTCGCATCAAGGGTGCCTGTGGGGGCCTGGGCAGGAGTGGGACAGATCTGAGGGTCTCTGGCAGAAGGGGGTGGGACCGGGGCAAGCGCCAAGGCATGGTCCATTTCTTCATTCCTCACAAAGGGTGACCCCTCCCCAGCATGCACCCAGGGGGCAGGGCCGACGCAGCAGGGGCCGGTCCCTTGCTGTTTCTAGATGGCCTTGTGGAGCTAAGACTGAATGCATTTCAGCATAGATGGCCACCACAAAATTGTACATTGGCTCCCAGCCGGCCTGGGCCAAGGCAGAGGGGGCCGTTCCCTCACTATTTCCAGGATGGCTTCGCGGGCCACATGAAACCACTTCGCGGGCCGCATCTGGCCCCCGGGCCTTATGTTTGACATGTTTGCACTGGGTCATACCCCCCCCCCCCAAATATTCAGAGCTGGCCAGCCTACTGCCCATCTGTTACCTCCCTTTAATTAAGAAAAACTCTGCCAAATGCAGTAAATGCTAATTATGGATAGCTTTTCATTTGGCTCAGGACTCCTTCAGAGGCAGTTTCTTAATTGGATTTTTTTTCTGATTTCTTCCTCCATTTATATATTTCTGCAACTTCAAGACTGTTTAAAAATCCCTTCCCTTCAGTCCTCTCTTTTTCACAATCTGAAAAGCCCAAACCACATTAGTAGCACCTGCAGGCTTAACTGTGCATAAAAATGCAACCGCGGTGCTCATTCTTGCAGTTTCAAAGACACCTTTCAAAACAAGAATGGAGCTTCACCAAAAGGAACCATTAAAAAGGGACAACAGAAAGATAATTTTTCCCCCCTGCTCCATTAATAGGAAGCTGTGCCTTCAAGTCAGTCTTGACTTCTGGTGAGTGCTTGGACCGGACCCTGCCGTTTTCTTGGTAATGTTTTTCAGAAAAGTTTTCTTAGTGGATTCTTCCTAGATTTGAGAGGAAGCCCCTACATCAGGGCTTTTCAACCAGTGGTACGGGTACCACCTGTGGTACATTGGCACCTGGCAGGTGGTACGCAAACATCCTAGAAAAGTGGTAGCGGGGGAGGGGAATGAGCTGAACTGGTGGCAGCACCGCACAAGCCTGAGCGAGAGATGGCTGGAGCTGCAGGGCTGTCAGGGCTCAGCGGAAGCGCCAGGATCAGCACCAGGCTCCAGCTGGAGCTCAGCGCTGATCCTGGCGCTTCTGCTGAGCCCTGAAGAAGCGTCGATCAGCTGGGATGTTGCAGCATCTCCAGGGTCTTGTGATTTACATTCAGATGCTTGGCAACTGATTCATATTTATGACGGTCACAGTGTCCCAGGGTCTTGTGAAGTGACCAAAACCTGCTGCAACCACCCAGCAGACGGGGGAATAAAAACCAAACACCCCCACCCCACCCCCGCTGCCAATCCTCAACAGAAATGCTCACAACAATGGAAACCTCGGACAGGAGGAAGAGCGCAGGCAGGTGTCTTGCTCGGCTGTGCCTTGGGGGGCACTTTTTTTCAGTGCCATTGTAACTTCGAACAGTCACTAAGCGAACTGTTGTAAGTCGAGGACTACCTGTACTTTATCACTTTTTTCCCTTCTTTTTTTTTTGGCCATCAAGTTTTTGACACCTTGCTAGGCGACTTGTGTTCCTCGGATGTTGCCATATCCTAAAAGTGGTACAATGGGTGAAAAGGTTGAAAAGCCCTGCCCTACATGGCCAACTCACAGTCTCCCGGTTTCTAGCTTCGTGCCTAAAAGCACCACATCAGCTCACCTCAAGAGCTATACAGGCAGCCCTTGACTTACAACAGTTGGTTTAGTGACTGTTCAAAGTTATGACGGCCCTGAAAAACGTGACGTATGACCGGTTTTCACACGTAAAACCGTTGTCAGCACCCCCGTGGTCACCTGATCAAAATCCAGATGCTTGGCAACTGGTTCAGGTTTATGATGGCTGCGGTGTCCCAGGGTCATGTGATCACCTTTTGCAACCTTTTGATAAGATACGTAACTTTTATTGTCATTTTTTATACTGTGGGCACAACGGCACATATCAAAAATGAAATTTTAGTTGCCCGCTCTCAAAGTGAAACACATACATGACACACACCTAAACATACTATGAACAACATATGTATAGACCCACATCCCTACATATACGTAGCAAATAAATATTAAATACTGTCCATCTTGAATATATAACGGAAGGAGGAAGCTTGAGAGTTCACAAGGTTAATGCTGTATGGAATGAAACTCTGGCTGAATCTGGATGTTCTGCCACGGATACCACGAAGCCCCCTCCTCCCAGAAGGTAACAAGGAAAGCAGGGTATGAAGAGGATGTGTAGTGTCCCAGATAATCTTACGGACCCTGCTCAAACAACGCTTCTGTGCTATGTCCTGGATGGGAGGGAGGGAACTGCCAATGATCTTTTCGGCCATCCTCACCATTCTCTGCACCGCCTTCCTGTCTGAAGCAGTGAGGCTTCCAAACCAGACCGTGATGCTGTAATAACAGGATGCTCTCGATTGTCAAGCAAAATCAATGGGGAAGCCAGATTCACTTAACAACCGGGTTACTAACTTAACAACTGCAGTGATTGGCTTAACAATGGGCAAGAAAGGTTGTCAAAATGGGGGCAAAATTCACTTAACAACCGTCTCACTTAGCAACAGAAATTTTGGGCTCAGTTGTAATGGTAAGTCGAGGACTACCTTAGTGTTGTTTTTTTTAAATAGGGACAAAGCTTTTATTAGGGCAGTGGTGGCGAACCTATGGCACGCGTGCCAGAGGCGGAGATGGCAACGCGCGCCATGACCTGGAGATGGCAACTGTCCCTCTTCAACCAGCCGCCCACTAACTCGCTGAGGTCCCACGTGGCCGGATGCATCCCAGCATGGCTGGTTTCCCTCCCCCCGTCCCATCCCTCCTGGCCTTGCATGCTCTCCTTTTCCCAGACACAACCCACTGCATCACCTCCTCAGCTGTCGGTCGTCCATCCAGCTCAGAGGCGACTTCTCTAAACCAGGGCTTTTCAACCTTTTCACCCATTGTACCACTTTTAGGATATGGCAACATCCGAGTACCACCAGTCGCCTAGCAAGGTGTCAAAAACTTGATGGCCAAAAAAAAAAGGGGAAAAAGTGATACAGTACAGGTAGTCCTCGACTTACAACAGTTCGCTTAGTGACTGTTCGAAGTTACAATGGCACTGAAAAAAGTGCCCCCCAAGCCACAGCCGAGCAAGACACCTGCCTGCCCCCCCAGTGGCGCTCTTCCTCCTGTCCGAGGTTTTCATTGTGAGCATTTCTGTTGAGGATTGGCAGTGGGGGTGGGGTGGGGGGGTGTTTGGTTTTTATTCCCCCCGTCTGCTGGGTGGTTGCAGCAGGTTTTGGTCACTTCACATGACCCTGGGACACTGTGACCGTCATAAATATGAATCAGTTGCCAAGCATCTGAATGTAAATCACAAGACCCTGGAGATGCTGCAACATTC